AAATCGATGGCCACATGGAAATCACCACTATGGCAGAATATGATGCAGAGAAAGGTGACTTCATCTTTGAGGATGAAGAGAAAAAAAAAGATTTTCTAGATTTAAAGGTAATTTTTAATTTACTGACATAATGTGAAATTTGATTCATATGATTTCTTCTCCCTCCAGCATTTGCAACTGAATGTGTCAGCCAGAAATCTCTCTTGTAGTTTAATGTTCTCCTTTAAGAGTGAAGAATCCTTTTGGAGTATATTTGATCACTTTCATGCATCCTGAGATGCCTATTAGCCTGTGAGCATCAATTTAAAATTTATTTATTTCTCTAGAATGCTCCTAGAAGGCTTCCTAAGATGAGAAGTTATGTCTGTCCTAGGGGTGCCACTTAAGAATCTTGAAAAGAGAACTTAAAATAAGAAATGACTGTTTACAAAAAAAACCCTCTCTAATTAACCACAATTTTTTTTCCCTTTCTTTACATGAAGACTCATATCTGTTGAGTTTATTGTTTAAAAAGAAAAGAGGATGCTTTGTTGTTTATTTGGTCCTGTTAGAGCTGGGGTCATCACGGCTACATGAGTAGGTGATGCCACACGTAGTCCCAGCACTGGTGTACACAGAACTAGTGTGTGGTCCTGGACAGTTCCAGCTGGATAATCTGTTATCTGTGCATGGCTGGAGGTCTGAGTTCATGATGCAGCTCCCCACTAATTGGACAAGGAGAGACAGCTTTACCAAGTGGGTTGAATTCTGGTCTCAGCATGTGAACTCAGTTGAGGACAGAAGAAAACCTCAAATCTTGCCCCTCTTTGTGGTGCAAGCAAATGTTCAACGTAACTTTCAGATTCCCTTAAAATATGAACGATACTAAAAAAAAAAAAAACCAAAACAAAACAGTACAAATTGCAGCATTACTGGAGGTTTATATTAATGGGTTTTTTAGAGATTTTGTTTGTTTGTTTTTTATTCTTTGCACACTGCAGAAAGTTCAGTCAACATGTTCCCAGCACTGCAGGCCAGGCCAGATGAAAAAGGTTACAGAAAGTCCACATACCTGCTGCTATGAGTGTGTTTACTGCCCAGAAAACCATTACAGCAATCGAACAGGTAAAGAATTGTGATCCAAATAAAAGTTTATTTAGACATCAGTACAATTGTTCTGTTTGTATGTAATGTGCCTTGACAACCTTGGGTTAACTTTGGAAGGGGATTTAAATATATGTTTATGATCAGTTTCCCATAAAACTTGCTATAAATGCTTCTTAGGAGACCAAACTTAAAGCAGTTAGATTGGTCAGCAAACTAGCTACCCTTTGCTGGGATGGAAATTCTGGCTGATTTATCAGTGAGACTGACTCTCATTAAAATAAAGTCTTGCCTCCCTGTCTTTCCATAGTACACCCACTCCAATAAGGAAGAATTTCTTTACTGTGAGGGTGGTGAGGCACTGGAACAGGTTGCCCAGAGAAGTTGTTGTGGATGCCTCCTCTTTGGAAGTGTTCAAGGGCAGGTTGGATGGAGCTACCTGATGTAGTGGAAGGTGTCCCTGCCTCTGGCAGGGGGGGTTGTAACTAGATGGTCTTTTAAGGTCCCTTCCAACCCAAACTCTTCTATGAGCCTATGCATCTATGAAGTTCAAGCATTATGTATTTTGCTTACCAGAATTGTACAGTAATATTTTCTAGTATCAAATCTGATGTGTACTTTACCAGTGGTTCATTTATGGATTTAAGCAAAAATTTTTAAAGGAGAAAATAAAATATGAAGGAAAGAGATAGAATTAAGAAAACTGTGGTACTTTGTACTTTTAATATCCTGAGAGTAGAAGGAAATTAAATTTTACCTTCTTATTCAATTAGCTGTGAAATGTCTCCATATCAGAGGACAAGAATTTCAAAGCAAAAGCACCTTTCAAATCATAAACTAAAGCAATGTTTCTTCTTGTTATTGTATTTCAAAAGCTATCTGTAATGAGCATATTGGGGTGTTTTCTTGTCAAAATAGACAAATAAAAGAAAAATAGTTCAAATTTTTTGCCAGAGAATTGATTATTTATTGTTCAGGTTTTAGTAAAAGTTTGCCTGTCCAGAGCTCTGGCCAGGTCACATATTGCTGGTCAGTGATGACCAAGACAGTTTTAGAACCCTGGTCATTCTCCCTGTCCTCTCCCTGTCCCTGGCTGCAGGAAACCCTTGCTCCCAGCTGGCAGGTAGTTCTGTGAGCGCCACCGCAGCCACCGCAGCTCTGCAGCTCCTCCACCTGGACGGCTACAGCAGCAGTCGGATGCAGTCAGACACGTCTTTTCCTCTTAGCAGCCCTTCCCACGTTGCTTTTGTATCTCAAGGCCGATAAAACACTTCGCAGTTTATTTACTTTGGGTTCTTAAATTATCTTCCTTTTTGTCTGCTTCCAGATATGGATTACTGCTACCGATGTAACAACAAAACCTACTGGGCTCCCATCAACAGTACCACATGCTACAAAAAGGCAGTCTATTTCCTCACCTGGACTGACTGGTTTGCTGTTTTCCTCCTCCTTCTGTCTGCTTTCGGGGTTGTGTTAGTTTTGTCAATTTGTGTAATATTTACTAAAAACTTGAACACACCAGTTGTAAAGGCATCTGGTGGTCTGACTGTCTGCTATATTATTCTCTTCAGTCACTTCTTAATTTTTTTAAGCACCATCTTCTTCATAGATGTACCCACAGAATTCAAATGTAAAACTAGGCAAGCACTCTTTGGCATAAGTTTTACACTCTGCATTTCATGTATTTTAATGAAGTCACTAAAAATTTTACTAGCCTTCAGCTTTGATCCCAAGCTTCAGAATTTCCTGAAATGCATGTATAAACCTATTCCCACTGTGGCCACCTGCACTGGAATTCAAGTTATCATTTGTACCTTCTGGCTAATATTTAGGACACCTTTTGTAACCCAAAATTTCTCAATCCCAAGAGTAATAATTCTGGAGTGCAATGAGGGGTCTATTGTAGCTTTTGGGATTATGCTGGGCTACATCGCTGCTCTAGCCTTTATTTGCTTCATATTTGCCTTTAAAGGTAGGAAATTGCCAGAGAACTACAATGAAGCTAAATTCATCACTTTTGGTATGCTAATTTACTTCATAGCATGGATTGTATTTATCCCTGTCTATGCAACTACATTTGGCAAATACTTGCCAGCAGTGGAAATCATTGTTGTTTTAATATCCAATTACGGAATCCTCTGCTGCACTTTTCTTCCAAAGTGCTATATCATCATTTACAAGCAAGAAACAAACACAAAATCTGCCTTTCTCAAAATGGTTTACACGTATTCCTCTAAAAGTGCAGGTAGCCTTACTGTTAGTCAGGTTTCTTTGGACTCAAAGTCTTCCAACTTCCGAGCTCCTGTCTCAGACTCATGTAAAACTGACAAAAACTCTGTGAATGGAAACTGCCAGTTCCAACTGCCAGGGCAGCCACTAATAAAAGGCAAGGTTCTTCCTAAAAATGCTGCCAGGAAAAGAGTCTCCAGCATATGACTGGCCAGTGGTCAAGTATTGGAAGATAAAAAGCCATCTTAGAGAGCTATTTATCTCTAAGATCTCTTTCCTTTTGGCATCCCCAAGGAGAGCAAGACATGTGAAACTCTTGTCCTCCTGTACTTAAGCAGTTATCCATTACCAGATCTGAAAGGCTTTCCTGGCCCTGAGATTCCAGTCCTTGCTCCTGCAGGCTCCATGATGCACAGTCCCCTGCGGGACCTGTGGGAACCTATTGTGCAATCTCCCTTCCTCAAGTGAGATAGAAGAATCACAAAATTATTATTTCTTACAGTTGCATAGGGGGGACCACATGAGTTTACTCCACTTCTTTTGCCTCTGATACACAATTCTTTAAGGAGTTATTCTTCTCATCTGGCCCCAATTCACAGATCAAAGAGAACCTTTTCCCAGCCTTTGTTTGCTAGGCTAAACAAGCTGAGTCCTTTAGTCTCCACTTTTAAGATAGGCTTTCCATTCTTCTGAACTTCCAAATGTAACCTTTTTCACCTGGTATCAGTGAATCTCTTTTTTTTCCTCCCCAGAATTGCACACTTTATTCCAGATGAGTGCTGCAGTAACCTTTAAAGTTCCTTGTATTTATCAGGATGGTAATGAACTAGAGACAGGTCTATAAAAGAATTAAAAAATTTCTTGGGAGCTCTGTAGTTATACATATGTTCATCTACATTTTTTCTCCATACTCAGAGGAAATACACTGATTCACCTCGTGCACCTCCTCTGATGCATGAAGAGGGAGCCTACTGTGTTTGTCCCCAAATGTCCTCTTAGTTGAGAGTGTAAGGACAATGTGTAATGTCAAAACTTAAAACCACTTATTGATTCCTCTCATCAGGATAAATAGTGTAATTACCAGTATCAGCATGAGTACATCCTGGGAATTTTGAGGGGTTGTATATGAGTTAAAAAAATCTGATTTTCAATAAGAACATGCCAATGTACCATTACAGTACACAGAAATAGCACAAGATTGAACTGGCATGATCTGCATTGGATGAGTCTCTGCTCTGTAGCGACATGAGCACAGCTGTGCTGTGCCTTCTGCATGAGAGACAAAAGGCAAATTCAGAGAAGGGGGAGCTCTTCTGTCAGGGTAATGGTACCACAGAGCTTTTTCAGACTCTAAACAGCAAAGCTACACTGTCAGTCCAGGACCAGGAAAAATACTTTTCCATATTCTGAAAGCCTGAAACATATTTTAACTTATGTGACGTTACTGTGAAATAATACTAAATTCCTTGAGTTTTGCCCATGCTTCTGTTTTGATCCAGAATAACTGGATGTTGTAGAAGAGCAAAATAAAAGCAGTAGATTTTGTGTTATGGAGGTATGTTGTACTATGGTTATGTAATTTATATCTATTTTTATAAAATTTTTATTTATATGTTGTAACCCTTATCCATATTTTTCTATTCATATTTTGTTAAAAATAAAAAATAAATCACATTTCAAAAATGGACATGGGCGATGAAATTATGACGCATAAACTAGGTATGTACTGTGTATCTATGAAGACATTTTAAAGTAATTTGAATGGCAAGAGTGCAATTTACCTGCAGACTTGTGTAATTGCAAACATTCTGTTGCTGATTGGAGGAATGAAGTTTTATGCATATATATTTATATGATGAGTGCTGTTCATACATCAGTTGTTGCAAATACTTTTCTGGATATGAAGTTATGTATAATAAGGTTTACAATTACTGCAATTTGACTGCCAATGCAGCAAGAAGTCTCTCCCTAAAAGAGAGAAGCAAAGCTTACGTTGCATGACTGTCAGCAATCAGCTGGTCAGAAAAGTTAATTTGGCTCAAATGTCATGCCTGTATTTATTGTTTCCAAAAGCTTTGAGTATAGCATGTCTTGAATCTATATGAAAGGGAATGATTAAAGCCATATTGTCATTTCAAATTGAGTTTGCTTACTTAATTTCCTCACCTCTCCACATGATCTTCTGTTTGGCCTTGAACAACAGCGATACACACACCTGTAAGGTGTTTCCACTGTAGATCTCAGTCTGCTTCTTAGAAACTTCCTTTAGGTTGAAAGTTGTGTATGGTAGGGCATTCCTCCTACAGGACAATGAGGAAAACGTCTAGAGGAACAGGGCCTGGTGACAGCAATGTGAAGGTCTCTACTGAGGTATCTTTAAGGAAAGACACCATATATGGCAGAATTTCAAAGGAGCCCTACCTGCTGCATCTAATTCTTCAGCTACTTGGGTCTTGTGCAAAGCACAGTCAACAGTGGAGCTAAGACCGTGTAACAGATTTGCTAGCCTGGCTTGGCAGAAAAAAGAGACACTATAGTAAGCTGTGTTACATGTTTTTAAATGTTTTGTCTGTAAGAAACAATTGATCATATGTAGGTAGAACCTGAAGGGATTGTGCTACAGAGGATATGAAAAGGCTTAAAACAAGAGTTCATTATGCTAAAGAAGCATTTGCGCACTTTCGCCTGCCCAGAGCAGTAAGTATTCCACCAATGTAACCATTCCTGTTACCAGTCATGGGGACATGAAATGAACCTGAAACAGATTTTCATCCCCAGGACACAGAACAGAATCACCTTCCAGAGTCATAGCAAAGCCTCAGCATGATGCTCCCAGAGCCACAGCCCATAGGTCAGGTCATGTGGGGCCAAAGGGGTCAGCTCATTTTTTTCTGGCTCACAGTGCACTCTCCTTGTTTACTTTGGAAAGATCCTAAAACTAATTCTCAAAACACTAACATCCCATGAGCACATTTTCTGTCTCTGAGAGCAATAGAGAGAACAAACGTCCCCAAATACACTGCTGTTCATAGAGAAATCAAATGTGAAAATGTTGTTAGTTGAAGTCAGCAGGAGGTAGCCCTGGATGTAAACACTATTTAAGCTTTTCGGGTCTCATTCATTGTTAATGGTGCTAAATAATGCATTCTGAACCCACTATCACACAACGCACAATACCTTCAGGGAGACTGAAGACTATGAAGGCCACTCAGTCTTCAAGTCATCTTCTCCAGGGCATAATTCCCTCAAGATTTCAGTAGCTCTGGATGTGGAAATGCCTTTCAGCTGCCCAGAATCTTTAAAGCGGTTCTTTGGTGAGAGCAGAAAATTACTTATGCGCGTTCCAGGCTTCCTCCCAGCAGCTCTGCTCATGGCCATCGAAACTACAGTGACTCTAAATGTGTGGTTTAACATCATGAGTAGCAGCTAATAGGAGTGCTTGGAATGTTGCTCATAATGTATGACACTGAGCAGCCCAGTCCAGATGTGCTGACTCTTCCTGCCCTTGCCAGATGTGTCTCCAGGGACAAGGAGCATGCTTAACCCTATGTCATTCTCTTCGAGCAGGAAGAAGGCAAAGGTAAAGTATCACCCTCTAGGTCATTTCTACCTATCTGTATTCATCTCCTTGACAACATTCTGAAAAAGGAAAGAGCTGCTCAGGGAGTGTATGTGAGTGTGCAAAGAGGTGCATCTCTTCCTATTTGTTATTTTTAGAAGGACATGGGAAAGCTGGCATAGAGCTTTGATTCAGGGAGCTAGATTCTTCCATCTAGAGACTGTCTCATTAGCAAACAGAAATTTTGTTCTGAAACAGAATGTGGGAAGATTGATTTCTGAATTTATTTTTTTTTAAGTTGGTATGAGTTAAATGGATTGGAATGGCTTTGATGTTTTACCAACAATAAGGACATGTTGTTACTTTAATGATTTTGGAATAAAAACTGTACATGTATAGATAAGTAAACATCAGCATGGGACTACTTACTGAAAAGAAAGTACTTTTTTAAATATCTTTCCAGAGTGAAATGTTGTTCAAATGGCATTTTAAAAAAGTTCTAATATAAAGGATGCTAGAACTCACTTTGGCAAAACCAATTTCTGATTTCTTATACCCAACAATTTGATTTCAGAAAAAGATGCTTACCTCTGGCTCTGTTCCTTAAAAAAAAGATAGCTGGAGCTTTTGGCTGCAAACAGTTCAATACTCCTCATTTGTGCTCTCATGCTGAGACAGGACTGTGGCTGTTGCTGGGCAGTGATTCTCCCTGGGGAGTAAGACTTCCTCTGTTCGTCAGCAGTCACTCTGGCTTTGGTTGATGCACGTAAAATCTTCCACTGTTTGGTGCTTCAGACACAATTCTGTTGAGACACTGTCTTATACACTGTCACAGATATCATGCTGACGTGGGTTGTTTCTTACTAAATATGTAGTTCCGTGCTGACAATCTTTTTGTTCAAGGATATGTTCATACCGAAATTTATTTTTTTGTGTTTTTTTGTTTTGGTTTGCCTCAGGTTTTTTTTAATAAGGGCTTAATCTGACTAGGACATGAAAGGAAAACAGAAAAAAGGTTTTCAGTTGAAGTAAATGGAAAAGTATATGATGAGAATCAGTACGTTCGAACCTTCTGAAAGCAGTAAAATGACAGAAACATGGACGTGGGCAGCTGTGTTTCAGAACTTAAATCCACCTTGCTCTGAAACATAGACTCAAAGAATGGTTTGCATTGGAAGGGATCTTAAAGATCATAGAGTTCCAACCCTCCCCTGCCATGGGCAGAGACACCTTCCACTAGACCAGGTTGCTCAATGCCCCATCCCATCTGCCAAGGATGAGTCATCCCCAACTCCTCTGGGCAGCCTGCACCAGAGACTCACCAACCTCACAGGAAAGAATTTCTTCCTAATCTAAACCTACTTTGTTTCAACTTAAAGCCATTACTCCTTGCAATAGGGATATAGGACCTTGTACAAAGCCTCTCTCCAGCTCTCTTGTAGGCCCCCTTTAGTTACTGGAAGGCTGCTCTAAGGTTTCCTTAGAACTTCTCCAGGCTGAACAACCCCAGCTCTCTCTACCTGTCTTCGTGGGAGAGGTACTCCAGCCCTCTGGTCATCTTTGTGGCCCTTCTCTGGACTCACTTCAGCAAGCCCACGTCCTAACACGAAGGTGAACTACTGCGGCTGTTTCTTTAGCCGAATTTTGACCTGAAAGCTGAACTTTCCACACTGGAGTTGCAGTCCGTGAGTGCGGCAGGTGAGCAGGATGCCTTCTCCGGAGGACCGATCCCCGCCGTGTCGGCGGCAGTCCCGCCTTGCCTCGCGTCCGGGCGCGGCTGGAAGGGTCCGCGGGGCGGGGCCGGGCGGGGCCGGGACCGCGATCGAGGCAGAGGGGCCCGCCGCGGCAGAGGGTGCCTCTAATCCTTGCCGCCCTGGCCATGCTGCCGGCCCTTCTCCGCCCCGGGCGGCTGCTGTCCGCCGCGCCGCTCCGCCCGCCCGCGCCGCCCGCTCCGCGGGGAGCCGCCGCTGGTGGGGAGCCCGCCCGGAGCCCGGGCACCTCCCGCGGTAAGGGGGGAGAGGAGCTGCGGGGGACCAGCTCCGCAACAGCTCCCCGGGGCTGACGGGGAGGTGTGCGGGCGACTCGGGGCCGGGGCCGAGCGGGGCAGAGCTTCCCGGTGGTGCGGCCCGCGTGTGGCACGGCAGCTCGGGTGCTCCTGAGTGTTCTCCTACTGGCTTGGGTATCCACGCCTGCGGGCGGCGGGGGTTCGAACCAGACCCGCAGGAACACTCATTGCATGTGCAGGCGCTCCAGAAACCCCGCGGAGGTCACTCTGCGTAGGCGAGACCTGAAGGTCTAATATCTGGGGTTGCTCTTCCAATGACCAGGACGGTCAGGGTTTTCCCCTTCCATCGTCACTAGCAGACATCATTCACTCTTAGTGTACGGTTTGACGAAGTGTTTTTTTCCTAATCTTTAAGCTGAGCAGGCTCACAAGGTGGTTGCAAGTTACAAACCCTCCAAGTTTGACAAAAAAATCCTCCTCTGGACTGGCCGTTTCAAGACAGAAGAAGAGATTCCTCTGAGGATCCCGTAAGTATGCTGTCCTTGTCCAAGAGGAACATGGAGATGAAGGGAAAACAGTGGCGTGATTCTGATCTAAAGCTTTTCCACAGAGTTTAGAACAGTCGGTTTTTCAACACTGAAGACTTGGAAACAAATTAGAGGGCAAGAGAATTTCCTGTCCTGGTTAGGGGTTAAGATGAGAAAATGTTCCTTGCTGGAGTCCCCAGAGCCTGGGATGAGAACTGGATGCATCTGAGTAGACAGCCTTGGTTACGTTTATGTACTGACTTGTTTGTTTTGCTTATTCCTAATATGCAATTGGAGAAGGATGTTATTGGTAAACAATAATTTCTGTTTATCGCTCCCATAAACAGTTGTGAGGGAGCTGGCTGTTACTGAATGATTACATCCAAAAATATTATTATTATTATTATTGAATTTCAGGAAAACTTATGGAAGTAAATTACAAGAGAAGCATTCCCCACCAAGGAAAACTGAGTACTTAACGTAGCCTTAGCCTCCCATTCTTGTTGACCCACTGGACTAGATGATCTCTGAAGGTCCCTTCCCACCGAAACCTGACTCTATGGTTCTTTGACTTGCTGAAAGTTAGCATCCCCCAAGGGAGTCAGCCACTAAACACATGAAAACCATCTAATGCCAGTTGCTGCCTTTTCTTAGGATGTTAGTGTGTTACACGTCTCTCCAGGACACTACTTTTTATCATCACACCACATCCTTGTCTTTGGTGACATGTTGAGAACAAGCAGCATGCAGAGGTGTGTAAAACAGTTACATCCTCTGCCTGCTCCTGTTGGTTCCTGACAGTTTCGCTGTTGTTTGCTGAGCTGGACAGTGGCTTTCTGAACGGTCTAACCTCTCTTGCACTGTGTTAGTCTCACCATCTTCCTCTAGAGAATGGTTCAGACAGGTTTCAGAAGCTGTAAATGCTATTCAAGTCATCAGGAAGTGTTTATAAAGACTTATTGCATTTGCCAGCCCATAAACATACACACACAAAAATCACTCATTTCTGTGCCATAGCTGGCCTAGCAAGTTCGTGTTACCACCTTGTGCTTTCTGGGTGAGCAAAGTCTTTTTACAACTGCAAGATCACCGGTATATACTAGAAGTAGCTAAAAGTGATACACTGAAGCTGAACTGTGACACTGTTTAACTGTTGTTTAAAAAAAAAAAGAATTGCAAGATGTTGCTCCCTGTGAACACAATCTAGCTGCTGAAGATAGTTTGTACTAAAGGACAATCTGCAATCCTTAGTCAAGGTTGTTATGGTTTGTTTGGGTTTTTCTAAAAACAGCTGTCACTGACTTCAGCAGAGATTTACCCAGAGTCTTGATTAAGGATTGAGTAGTAAAGGTCGTAATGTGCAATTAGGGACGAAAATTGTAAGGTCTGTTTTCCTTAAAGCAGAGGAAGTGAAAATCTGCTTCAGAAGAGCTTCAATTAGTGCATTGTGAAATATGATTAGGCTAATATGCCACGCTAATAACATTTATGGTTTTGCTTTTGTTGCAACAAATGGATTATTGGATTAATAATTTTACGCGCTAGGTCTGATGTGTGGTCTGTTTTGCAGATGATTTTTACCATTGTACAAACCAGAAGCAGTTACTTAGAACTGCAGGCATTGTCAGTCATCTGCAAGAAACATAATGTGCTCGTGTGTGCCTTGGCAACGAAGGGGGTAATATGGCATTGCCACTCATAGGATTTGCCCTATTCCATTGCACTAAACCTTAGAGAGAGCCACTGCAGCCCTCAGCCTTGGTACAGGCTTTCATGGGCAGAACTTCCACTGTAAAAACTCCAGCTCTGCCCAATCCCACTGCATCAACTTTTAAAGTAAAGCTAAAGGTGCTTTGGGGAAAGAGATCATTACATGATCTTTACTTAAAACAAAAAATCAATTCTTTGTGAAACTATCCTTTTTACAAATATAGTTGTGGTTTTATACATGCGTATTTATATTCTTTATCTTACAAATATCATGGCTAGGCTTCGCGACTTTGGGAGGGGAAGATTTGGGAAGGGCTCTACCCACGTTTGTTACAAGTGCGTCGGTGGCTAAAAAGGCCAATATGAGACAGGCACGTCGGGTTGCAAAAGGCACAGCAGAAAGTATATTCTGCAGGGCACGATTCTTTCTGCATTGTCTTTTCTCCTCAAGAGTGATCCTGCGTGCTTTCTCAAAGGCATCAGCAGCGATATAGATGGTGTGTCTCCAGACCTCCCGATTGGAGGCCAGAGTAGACCAATTATGTTCATCAATGTAGCCAAGGCTGAGATATTGTTTCAGGGAGTCCTTGTATCTTCTCTTTGGGGCTCCTCTCTTGCGGCAGCCAGTGGCAAGTTCACCATAAAGCAAGATCTTAGGGAGGTGGTGGTCCTTCATCCTTGAGATGTGCCCTGCCCATCGCAGCTGTGTTCTCAGTAACATGGCCTCAATACTTGTGATTGCTACTTGTTCTAGAACAGATGTATTGGTCACATAATCTGACCACTGGATGTTTAGGATTGCATGAAGGCAGCGTTGATGGAAGTGTTCTAGAAGTCGCAGGTGGTGGTGGTAGATGACCCATGATTCAGATCCATATAAAAGAGTAGACAGCACAATGGCTCTGTAAACACTGATCTTGGTACTTTTCTTCAAGTGTTTATTTCACCAAACTCTTTTATGAAGCTTTCCGAAGGCACTGTATGCCTTTGGTAACCTGTTGTCTATTTCCCCATCAATCTTACCATCCGAGGAGATGAGGCTACCTAGGTAATTAAACTGCTGGACTGATTTGAGTTCTGATTGGCCAATGGTGATATGGGGATGATGGAAGACTTCCTGAGGTGCCGGTTGATAGAGAACCTCTGTCTTCTTTAAACTGACTTCCAGTCCAAAGAGCTCAGCAGCCTCTGCAAAGCAGGATGTTAAATGCTGCAAAGCTGCTTCTGTGTGGGTGACAAGGGCAGCGTCATCAGCATAGAGTAGCTCCCGGACAAGATGGTTTAAAGTCTTAGTGTGGGCCTTCAGTCACCTTAGGTTGAAAAGGCTTCCATCAGTATGGTATCGAATGTAGATACCGTCCTGATCCTCAAGGTCTGCCATGGCCCTTTGGAGCATCATGCTGAAAAAGACTGTGAATAGGGTTGGTGCGAGAACGCAGCCTTGTTTCACACCGTTAGTTATTAGAAAGAGCTCAGAAAGTGCATCGCCGTATCTGACTTGGCCGTGTTGATCCTCATGGAGTGAGATGATCATTTTGAGGAACTTGGAGGGACAACCTAAGCATTCCAAAATCTGCCACAGACCTTTCCTGCTCACGGTTTTGAAAGCCTTGGTGAGGTCAAGTCAACAAAAGTTACATAGAGACCTTTGTTCTGTTCCCTACACTTCTCTTGCAGTTGTCTGAGGACAAACACCATGTCTGTGGTACTCCTGTTGGCTCTGAAACCACACTGGCTTTCAGGTAGAGTTCCTTCTGCAATAGCAAGTATTAGTCTGTTCAAGAGTATTCTTGCCAGGATTTTGCCAGCAATGGAGAGCACAGTGATACCACGGTAATTTGAACAGTCTGATTTAATTCCTTTCTTCTTAAATAGGGTGATGATGCCTGCATCTTGAAGGTCTGATGGTAGTTCACCTAGTTCCCAACAGTGTAGTATGAACTTGTGAAATTTAGCATGGAGTGCTTGGACCCCATGTTTCCAGACTTCAGGTGGAATTCCATCAACCCCAGCTACCTTGCCAATTTTCACCTGCTGAATGTCCTTAAGGGTTTCTCCTAAAGTGGGGGTAGTATCCAATTCATAATTCACCAGTTGTTGTGTGAAAGACTGAATGACTGTGTCTTGGACTATACGGCTAGTACTGAAAAGGGTCTGAAAATGTTCAGACCATCGATTCAGAATGGAGGTTTTATCTGTCAGAAGCGTTTGACCATCAGCGCTGAGTAGAGGGCTTTGGACTTCGTATGTAGGCCCATATGTTGTTTTCAGGGCTTCACAGAATCCTTTGTGATCACCCATATCTGTGCATAATTGAGTTTTTTCAGCTAGATTGATCCACCACTTGTTCTGGATGTCATGGAGTGTCTGTTGGAGCTTGCTGCATGTAATGTGAAAGGTTGTTTTTCTTACATGACAGGATGGCAGTGCAAGGTGTGCTTGGTGGACGGTTCTCTTCTTCCTCAACAATTCCTGGATCTCTTGACTGTTTTCATCGAACCAGTCCTTGTTCTTCTTGAGGGAGAACCCTAAGGATTCTTCAGAGGACTGAAGGATGCTGTTTTTGATATGGTGCCAGAGTGTTACAGGAGAGAATCTGTAGAATCTGTGGAATGGTTATCAAGCCTAGTTTGAAGATTAGCCTGGAATTTGTTTCTCACTGTGGCTGATTGGAGATTGTTAACTTGGAGTCTCCTCCTTGGGATACTGCCTCTTTTAGGTTTGAATTTAAGATTCAGGTTAAGTTTACAGCGCACCAGTCGATGGTCTGTTTGGCATTCTGCGTTGGGCATCACACAGGTGTGGTGGACATCGCGCACATCTCTCCATCGCACCAAGACATAATTGATGAGGTGCCGGTGTTTGGATCTGGGATGCATCCATGTTGTCTTCAGACTATCTTTCTGCTGAAAGACAGTATTAGTGATGGTGAGCTGTTGCTTCACACAGAATTCTAGCAGAAGCCGACCATTATTGTTGCAGCTTCCAACACCATGCTTGCCTAATATTCCTTTCCAAGTTTCAAAGTTCTTTCCTACTCTGGTGTTGAAATCACCAAGGATCTGCAGGAACTTTCTGGGTAAGGCGGCGCAGGTCGGTGTAAAATTTATATTTTTCAGCAGGGTCAGTTTGGAGAGTTGGGGCATATATGCTAAAGAGGCATATATGTTGCTTGCTGTGTAGTGGAAGGTGTAGGGAGATAATTTGGTCAGAGTGACCTGTCGGCAGATTTTCAAGTTTAGGAACAATAGAGTTTTTGATCATGAAGCTGATTCCTGAGATATGCTTTTCGGTTCTGGGCTTACCTGACCAAAAGAGTATGTAGCCAGCACCATGTTCTCTGAGGCTGCCTTCCTCGTGAAGGTGAACTTCGCTGAGAGCAGCAATGTCAATGTTGAGATGTGACAGTTCATGGGCAATAAGGGCAGAATGACGCTCAGGACATCAGCTATCCACAGAATTGAGCATGGTTCTGATGTTCCAGCATGCTAGAGTTAATTTGGGTACACCTTTGGAGGCAGGTGTATATGCCTTTGTCTTTTGATCTTTGTGTGACTGCATTTGTAGAAGATGTCGATACAGGGCTTTGCAAATGTGAGTAAGGCCTTCAAGCCCGTGCAATGGATTTTTTAGGTGAGACACAGTATGCCTGGAACTGAACCCACCCTTTAATCCTAAGGTTCATCTGCCAGGGCCGAGCAAGCTTGGATGGTGGCAGCGAGGTCTTCAGGACGTAGGTTTAATTAGAGTGACCTTCTCTTAGATGGATGGCCTTACAGGACTGATCGAGCTCCATCTGCCCAGGTTTAGAGTTGTCCTTCTCTTCTGTGTGTTCTGGGCTCCCCCTCTCATCTCCCATGAAGGCACAGTCCACACCGGTGAAGCTCCCCCTCTCTCGCTCCTTTCCACACCTGGGGCTGGGCCCGAGCGCCCGGGGCCATCTGGGGCCGTGCCACGCGCACGTGTTCCGGGGCCAGCCAGGGCCGCGCCGCCACACGCCCTTACAAATATGTATATATATAAAAAGAATACCCATGATGATTTATGAAAGGAAAATGGTGCACAGTCAGCATTATTATGAACATCTTAAAAACTCTACTCCCATGCAACTGTACATGTCTGACTTGGAAAAAGACTGAGCTGAAAGTTTTGGGACAATTTTCATGATTTCCTATACTGCTGGTTCTGAGCAGCCTGCTCTGAGCAGAGAGGAGGGTGGAAATGGGAGCTGCACCAATCCAGGCTGCTGGGCTGTACATCTCTCTTGCAGCAACTACTGCCAAACAAAGGGCAGAAGTTCTCACTACTTCTGCCTTTGATGACCAGCAAAAATAATCATGTAGCTTGTTCTTGTCTAAATGTACGTTTCTGTGATAGTGATGTGGCTGATGTGGCTGTGATAATGATCAGCTGCCCACTTTCTACAAGGCTGTTGCTTTAATGAAGAACTAAAACCTCTAACTCATAGCAGTACAAACTCTGCTTTAATCCAATCCATGTATTTAATGTCCTTAGCCTACAGGACACCACCTAGACAGCTTAGAGATGACAGTAATTGATTTCTAAAGTGAATTTTGAATAAAAGGAACTTGCTTTCATCCCATCAGGTTGACACCACATTTATTTCTGCATCTATTTAAAACAGATTAACCCCCTTAATTTTCACTGTGTTTAAACAGAGCTTAAGGTACGATTTCTGGTGTATTCATTTAAATGCAAATATTTATTGCCTGAGCAATTTTTTCAGCTTAAAAATAAATAAATAAATAAACAAACAGCCTAAATCCATTAAATGTTGCTTTTCCATGGGAAATGGATTAGGGTCAGAAAATGAGTGGTGCATAACCAACCACAGCAAGCTGAAGATGTTTGTTTCAGAAGGTAATTTTATTTTTCAGTTGTGATGTTACGTGTGTGATGCTTTGAAGAACAGATACTTTACTGCTTTTTAATGATTCAATTCAACAACTTTAATTGCAGGCCAGAGATGCTAGACAAGGCAAGAAACAAAGCTCGAGTGAAAGCTTGTTACATCATGATTGGTCTCTCAATTGTTGCCTGCTTTGCAGTGATTGCTTCAGCTAAAAAGGTGAGTATGGCCATGTAGCATACTTTCAAATTATGGAATTCTGTGAAAAGTAGACTAACCTAAACCAGAAGCAGCAGCTTACACCTACCCAAGGTTTAGCTGACCTAGTCTCTGCCAGCCCCCAGCATGTAAGTAGTTGTTGTCCGTTCCTGAGGTTGGGTAGCTTTCCTGTGGGTGCATTGTTACTCCTACCACACTACTCTTCAGATGTTTTACTTCCACAGGCTGCTGCACGTCACGAGTCCTTAACAAGCTGGAACTTGGCAAAGAAGGCCAAGTGGCGGAAGGAGGCTGCGCTAGCCGCGGAGTCAAAAGCAAAGTAACTTCATATGAAATGCCAAATGCCCTTCCAGGAGTAAAATTAACTGTTGCTGAGAGCAATTAGTGAGTTTCACCCATACACGGACAATAGTATGCACACGCTGGAGCCAATAAGGGCAGTTACAGCATCACAAAAAGAAAGGGAGGGTCTCTTTTATTAGGGAGATATTTGGTGTACGTGCTGCATATAGTTAGAGTTAGTTAGAATGTTTTGCATATGCTTAAAAGCAGTAATTCATTTTAAAGGAGATGAGGTACTTTTGTAAGAATATCAGGCATCTTTAGTTAGATAATGACAAAATACTTAAACCCACAAAGTTTTCTGTCTGGGACAGTGCCTAGTTTTTCAGCACGCAAATCAGACAGTTTGAACTCATTTGCATCAATGCTGTATTCAGAACGATATTTGCATTTCCTAGTTTAAGAAGCCACACTTACTGAACCACTAAATAAATACGATAAACATCTGTAAAATAGGTTTTATTGGTTTCTGTACGGTATTTGGAGATTTAACATTCCATAATATTGCAAACTACTCATATGTGTTCTGTTACAGTAATGGGCCTTTGGCCTGGATTTAAAGATGCACTATTACTATCTGAAGTTAATATAGGTAATGTAGTTTCCACACATTATATGAAGACATTGTGTTGTAAGTTGCTGAAATTTCTCATTCCAGATTTCAGAGAACTCTTAAGGTCACAGTTGAAGTTCACATACCCATTTTCACACTTATTACAAAAATCTTCAGTTGTACAATTTAATAAATTTAAACCAACCGAGAATTAACCACAGAGGAAAGACAATAGTGCATCTTTACTATTTTCTTAAAGACATGTCCAACAATAAATAGTTTCCAGCTGCAAACTTGTTCTACAGCTAACATTTCTGTGTCAACATTATCACTATTTTCTGATTGCTGCTAGCAACAGTGTTCAAAGCAAATACTAGAAAATTAAAAAGCTGTATGAACCAGTCCTTGGACAAAAGTGCAATGATGAAAAAATTAGATATGATTCAGTGTAACAAGATAAGGGAACTAATAAAAAAATCTTATGCTCTGCATAGTTGCATAGATTAGCTAGTTAGTATTCACATTTAAACGGAACAAATGGTACCCTTTTAATAAAACCAAAACCCTTTATTTTTAAATAGACTTTGTAACTGATGGGGGACTTCAGATTCTGTTAGATAGCAAACTTTAAGACACTTTCATATCAGAATTTTATTTTGTTTTTCTCTCCATATCGGTTTCATCTGTTTAGGCAACATCATCACAATCATGCCCCTTCCTGCAAATGAGTAAAACAGAGTTGACTTTAAGTCATAATCTCTGATTTTATATTGTATGAAGTAAATCCAGTGATAAGATAGGAGAGACCATCCTGTATATTTATCCTTTAAAGGATTTTCAGCACTATTTTTTAACAATTTTAGGGTAAACCAAATGTTGAGTTTAAATAATGATTTTCATTATCCAAAGTTCATCGATTTTAGTTCCCTTTTAAACTGTTCCATTTAAATGTATCAGAGGTATGAAGTACAGTTTATCTAAATGTGTAAAGTGCAGTCACTAACTGTTCACACATATAGAATAATATATTCACACAACTGAAGACATTCCTTCGAAACAAATAGAATACTTTAAATGTCCCCTCTTTTTTTCATTTTCAAGTCTTTCAACCAAGACTTTCGGAGCTCAGATTTGGTTTAAATAAGAGAGGCTTATAAGAGAGGCTTTTCACAGGGTTCTTCAAATAAAAAGCAGGCACAGCTGGTTGTGATCAAAACAAGGTTGTTAGAAACAAAGAAATACCCTGTTACCTGAATAATCTTCTTACATTAGAACAATATTGAAATTCAGCATTTGCTACTAATCTTGGTAGATTTCCATGATTGTTACCCTGTACTTTGATAGATGGGGGATGAAGGGGGGAGCACGTGAATGCAGGAAGGTTGGTGTATGAAAACCTAAAACTATGAGAGTAAAAAGGGTATAACTACAATCACCTAACATTATACGAAAATTTGGCAGCTGTACTCAATATTATCACACTACTCAAAACTGTTGTATGCTGTACAAATCTAGGTTTAAAGTGTCATTTGCTAAAATATCTCATTATTCAGAGTTCATAAAGTAACAGCACTCCTATATACACTTCTTATACTTCTATCTTCCACTAAAGAGACTTCAAAGGGAGGTTTCTTCCCTCCCAGTTACATCTTAGTCAAAACTGACCATTAATTTTAGAAAATTCACTTCAAGTCCCACATTCAATTACAATATAGAATATATTGCTGTAACAGCAAAGTGAAACATCTTAGAATCTTAACTTGCATGTAAAAAAAATTCTAAATATAAAATGGTACTGTAAATGATACCACCTTTAACCTGTATTTTTTCAGTGCATTAAAATATTGTTTAGTGACAAGCACAGTGCCATGGGTGAGTGATTTGAAGTTTAAACTGCAGCTTTTTATGAAGCATGAAATGCTCTCATATGTCAAGGATTTCACTTAACCCAGGAGTTTGATGTTAATACATTAATTACAGGTAACAAAAAATAGCAATACTTCAGAGATAACCCAAAGTATTAATTTCTCCAAACAATATATACTACTAATACACCAGAAACACTACTTATATGCAAGTTGAAGCAGAGTATACATTTTTCTGTATTCAAAACTGTTAACATAAAATATCAGAATTCTATTTCTTTTAGTGTTTAACAGCAAACATGGTATATTGCAGAGCCTAAATATTTAGATGACAATAACTTCTAGTTAGTTTTGGTATCCACATACTTAATGCTATTTACAGTACAACAAACTTTTCCTTCAATTGGAAAGGAGTGATTCACTATTCATTCTTCACTGCAGTATTTCTATTGTCTTAGCAAAAGAAAACTGAATTCGTTAACTTAAGGAACAATTCAAGTGGCGGTAGCATATTTGGTCAAAAAACAACACCTACTGTCTAAACTTCTAAGAAGCTACTGTACTAGAAAGGCAAACAATGTTTCTCAAACTAAAGTGGTGTTACCACATTTTGACAGAAGACAGCTGTAAACCATCTGCTTAGTGACTTGTGCAAATCACCATCTCTGTCATTCATAATTGCAGCATTCTTGTGGTAACTACAGCAACTGCTTCCACTGCAAAGTACTGCAGTTGTGGCTGACTTGTAATGTCATTTAGCAGCTTTCATTACAGAGCCAACATCAAATGACCAGCAAGCTCTCTGCTGATTCCAATTTGAAAACTTCTGAAGTAGTCTTCTTCCCACATAATTCAGAAAAAACTTTTTCATATATTCAGTATTATATCAGGTAATTAGCATTATATACGTATATCTATTATGTCTTTAAATACATTTTATAAATAAACTTCAACAGTGTGTTGTAAAGTAAGTAATGCATAAAAGTTTCACAATTTAAATAAATATTTTTCACATTCCAATTCAGCTTCTTACAAGCTCTTCTTTATTTCATGCCTTGGTTTTGAAGCAATGTTTCTGCTTCAATACAAGAGGTAGATTTGATAAGACTGGGCAAGTCAAGCTTACTGCCAAAAATGCAACTGTCAGTAACTGTATTGCTGATATGAAGTTTGAGACTATATGAAAAATTCAGAACCACTACCTAAAATTCTACCAAGTCTTAGCTTAACAGTTCTTGTTAAATCACATTTAATGCTTTTAGACATGATTACTCACAGTTGTTTTCTGTACAGAGGAGATAATGAAAAACACAAATACAAAACAGAGAACAGTTGTCTCTAACACAATATATGAAAGTGCATGAGCTGCTTCTTCATCTATTTCTGCAAAACATATTCAGCTTTTCCTCTAACTTTGGCCAGGAAGAAAAGACCTCTGAGAAAAAAAAACCAAACAACCAAAACCCAAACCGTACAAGTGTTTAAATTTTATGCTTCTATTCACTTCAGTAGTTTAGAGCTGGAAACCCTCCATCGGAGCCTCCTGCTGTTGAAACACAAACTGCTGCTGACTTTCATCCACCTGAGGTGCAATACTAGAGTCCTCTTCTTCAACACCAAAATAATGTTCTATAAGTTCAAAAGCTTTTTGGTAGATCTCTTGGTTTTCATGCCTCTGAAGAAATTCAATTTTATCAAGTCCTAAATTCAAAATAAAACATTTTCAAAAATCTAGTAGCTTAAATGAATGATGAATTCAAAGAGAAACAGCTTACAGCATGGTACTTCTCAAATAAAAAAATGCAATCCCAAATCATCTCAATTAATTCAGTATCACTGATTGTTAATTTCCTAACCCATGTATTTCTACTTCATTTTCTGCTGTCCAAATCAATTTTAAAACTATGCTAAAAGCATATCGGTTAAACTGGGGAGCAGGCTGTAGTATCTCCAAAGAAACATGCCATGCCTATGAAGAAATTGAATCTATATAGAATTAGGATAGCATAAAACTGTTTGTTACAGCAATTTCTCATATGCCAGTTTCTTTTCTTTTACTCTTTCAGTCTTCCCCAACTCTAAATTGTATCTCCAGTCATGTAGTCGTCACTGGCGCAGTCTGGTATCTTTTTTCAAATGTAACTGGGAGATTTGAAGATATTATCTTTCCAAAGGCTTATCATGTGCAAGCTAGAGGACATAACCTCTCCTCTGTTGGCTGAATTAAATCTTTGGCCGTCAGTTAGGTTGATACAAAATTGCTGGTTAGCTATTTTAAATAATTCAGTTTTCACTTAAATTGGATTAAGGCCAAGATAAAGGCCTAAGTTAAGAGGCAAAAGCAGTGAGGGTGATATAATAAACTGTTTTCCCTTCTTGAACTTATACTCTGCAGCTTCAGCAGCCTATGCCTAAGTGGTAAGGGAAAAAAGAGAACCTAGATATTCAACAATTAAAATTATGAACGAACTCAAAATCTGGAACAGAACAAATTCCAATATAGTATTCAGTGCTTATTCCTCTTAAACATTAAATTGCAAAGTTCTTCAACTATGCACTTGATTTTAGAAATAAAACTCTGTAACAGGCAATTCAGATTCAAAGACTGCTTTACAGAAAAGTCACTACCATCTAATCAGATATAATGTGGTCAACTAGAACTGTTACTAGCAGTTTCTGAAATACAAATGTCTGCCAGTTTTGTTGGGTCAGAGCTACAAAAAAGATAACTCTCCATAAATAATGCCAATTTCATTATAAGCCAATTTTAACACTGATTTTGTTAAATCAAAAGCCTCCAGTCTTGGATTCCACAAATTAGTTTTGATAGTCTGCTTTTAAAACATGGTTCAATTCAACAACTTTTATAAGAAGAAAATACTATCACAAGGAAAAACTTGCTCAGTTTTATGGTCTGAAGTT